TCCAACAAGCGGGACTGGCCTAGGGCAATTTTTAGAGGGGTTTTAATCATATTTTAATTAGACAACATTTAAATATTTCTTTTTAACTAATTTTAATTTTGTAATTGTTATTGGTGTATTTTTAATTGATTGTCAGCCGCCCTGAGTCCGCAAGGAGAAGGGCGGGATATAAATTCAATAAATAATAATAATAATAAAAAACAAGATGACACCTGATTGGCTCTCTAAACACTCATGCTCATTGGCTACAATCAGATGAAGGAAAGCTACCTGATATCAACCTAAGCAAGTTGTGCTTCCTTTTTCTGGTTATTTGGCTATAACCTTTCATAGAATACAGTACAGATAATTGAACAAACTTTGTTGCATTACATTCTTTATTAAATTATCTTTCCATTGATATATAATTTTATGGTACAACTCCAAATAAAAAGTGGTGTTATTAGCCATCAAACCTCAAAAATACACTTTTCCAAAAAGGTTTCCACAATTTTGGCCACTACTGTAAAACTAAGAAGAAATTTTCTGACAGTTAGAACAATTAACCAGTGGAACAACCTGCCTCCAGAAGCGGTGAATGCTCCAACACTGGAAGTTTCTAAGAAGAAACTGGACAGCTATTTGTCTGAAATGGTATAGGGTTTCCTGCCTGAGCAGGGGCTTGGACTAGATGACCTCCAAGGTCCTTTCCAACTTTATTACTATTACTATTATTATTATTATTATTATTATTATTATTATTATTATTATTATTATTATTATTATTATTATTATTTGCATAAAACCATTACTTTTGCTGGAACTCAATAGAGGAATGGCAATATAAGGATTGTGAAATATTTAGTTTATGACCTCTATTTTACATGTATAGACAGATATAATTTACAAATCTCATAACAAGATCATATATTTTTTTTTAGCATATTCCTGTTCTCACTTCAAAGAGTTTTTTCATTCCTAAATCTTGTTTTGGTACATTCTCTTCCCTTTTCAAGATAAAACATTGTCGTAGGTCTTCAGATACATAATGTCATTGTCAGCATTGTCACCACCACCCACAACTACTCATTCAATCTTTTCTACAGTCTCACAGATTCTGAAAACAGATGCTCGTGTTCAGAAAAAAGTTGAACATTATTTTATTTCAGAATGAAAGTAATTGGCAGCCTTTTGGGGGTGGGGTGGGGTGGGGTTAGAGCTATACCAGACATGTCAAACTCGCGATGTCATGTGACATCGCGCAACGTATCGGAGCTTTTTTGCCATTGCCGGCAATGGGGTGGGCGCGGCTCCGGTATGATGAAACTGGCCCACGGGCCGGCAGTTTGACACCCCTGAGCTATACTTTTCAAAAATCTTTGTTGAACCATATGGATACAAAAGTTTTCATCAGGCTAAAAGAGCCTAAAGGAGAGAATGTATGAAGGGGTTTTTTTGGGAGGGGGGGTGTTAGGGTGGTGTGTCCATTTTTAGTATTAAAATGATCCAGTTGTTTGGCAGCACCTAACTATCTTTGTCTGACCTCCAAAAAACCAAAAATCCTAACCAGGATTAAATTTGGATGTAGACTAACTGTGGGGTGGGGGTGGGAAGGTAAACAGGCAAGTCAGAATAGCATCCCAGGAAGATACTTCAACATTACCAAGAAAGCTACATGAATATCTCCATAAAGTCACAGGATTTGAACCTCACTTTGAGGCTCTGTCTTTATCTCTTAAGCTTTAAAGTGATCTCACCCCCACATTTAAAAATGCAGTGCAGTGCTCCACAATAGTTGTTTTGGTGCAGCAATCTCATGGTATGTTGTAGATTTCCTGAACAAAAGACAGCCCGGTATTACTTGGACAAAAATCCTTGATGATGTATGTTCAGACAAAAAACTCTATTATATGTTTCATTTTTTTCTTGTAATGGCCAGACTGATTCTGTTAAAAAGAAATAAAAGGAAAATAAGAGCAGCCTTCCCTTATCTCTCAGCAGACCAAATGATGGTCTGAAAAACACATTTAGGTCTTATGGCTGGTATCATTGTAACCTATTTATATGTTTGCCTTCTCATGAATAGGACTGAAACTTGGGATATAGGTGCACATGCGAGTGGGTAAATTGGGCTGCTTGAAAACATTGTCATGACTTAAGTACGAAATGTGCAGGGGAAATATTTATTTGACTTGAACACTACCTAATTCCTATTGACTCTGGTCAGCTCACAGAATAAAAACAAACAATGTACAATCCAGATAAAAAACAATGAGCAAGATGGCGAATCTGGCCAACAGCAACATACATAATGGCTCCAACCACTCTAACCTAAAGCCTGGGAAAACAGCCAGGTCTTTCAGGTTTCTGGAATGCTATCAGCCAGATCTCGGGAGGAACCTCATTCCAGAGGGCAGGCACTGTGACAGAAAAGCCATGCTTATGGGGGCTTTGCAGGATTTTATAGATCATAATCAGCATTTTAAATCACGCCCAGAAGCAAAGTGGCAACCGAACTTACGGAACAGAAGTGTTGCATAGGCATATTGAGGAATACCTATCGCTGTATTCACTGCTCCATTCTGGATCAGTTGAAGCTTCTGAGTGGTCTTCAAGGGCAGCCCCATGCATACTGTGTTGTAGTAGTTGAGCCACAAGATAATTATGGCATACATCTCTGTCTGAAAGATCTCCTGATCTAAGAAATGTTGCATCTGGTGCACCAGATGAAGCAACAACAACAACAACAACAACAACAACAATAATAATAATAATAATAATATAACAAGAACAACAACAATAATAATGGTGATGTTGGAAGGGACCTTGGAGGTCATCTAGTCCAACCCCCTGCTCAGGCAGGAAACCCTATAGCATTTCGGACTATGCAAAGGCTTTCCTGGCCACAACTGTTTCCTACTCAAGAGCAAGAATTGTGAATCCAGGAAGAGTCCAGGTTGTTTACTGCTCTTCAGTGGGGAAATGCTATCCCATTCAAGGTTAAATGTTCAAATCCAGATGGTCTTTGTAGGTTTGAGGCAGAGATGACTCCTCCCATACAAACCCTGCATCCACTAGGAAATCTCAGCAGCCTAACTTGGCCATCCTGAGACCATACTCATAATACTGAACCCCAAATTGATAGTCCTCATCCAGAAGATTCAGGTAGATGTTGATAAAAGGGAAGAAAGATTTGACCTCTGTGGCATCCCACAGAAGAGGGGACTAAAGTGTGACATCTCTCCCATCAATCAATACTGATTGAAACTGGCCCTGCAGAAAAGAAGATAATCACTTTAAAACCCTATCTCCAAGGCCCAGAGCCAGATCTGAAGAATACTGTGGTTGATAGTATCAAAAGCTACTGAGAGGTCAAGAAGCACCACATCCATCCTAGCTGTGCCACAGGTAATCTACAAACGTAAGCAAGACTGTCTTCATACTAAATTTTGGCCAGAAAACTGATTGAGATGAGTCTGCATAATCCATAACTTCCAAGATTCCTATCAATTGCAGACTGGCCACCTTTTCTACAGTCTTCCCTAAAAAGGAAGGTTAGAGACAGGAGGAAAATTATCTAAAATCATAGGGTCCAAGGATGACTTCTTGAGGAGATGCAACATTGTCTCCTTAAGCAGAAGTACCACTTTCTCCCTCAAAGAGGCCACACTTACAGGATGGACTCAACTGCAAGTCACTTTTCTGGCTACTTTAATGATCCAGAGGGGTCTGGCTATCCACTTCCTGAAGAATCATGGGTTCAAACTGATAATCATACCACAAGTCCCAGTTACAGGCACCTTGGCTAGGCTTTTCCAGTCAGCATCCAGGTCAGTAAGTCTGAGTGGCTTAATCTACCATTCCTCACAAAAGCCCTGGGGGCCCTCTCTGTTCAACAAGGATTACAATATCCTAAACAAGGCTGCTGAGCAGCTATTGACAGATCAGTAAGGGCAGAGAAAAACTGATGTTTTGCCACTCTTATCACTACAAGGTAATCCCTGGTATAATACTCACCTGAACTGATGAGACATTTCTGGTCTTCCTCCAAAGATATTTCAGGCATGTCTTGTGATGCTTCTCATCTCTTGGAGCTCTTCAATAAACCAATGGATCTCAATCACAAGGCTTTGAATTTTAATATAAGAGCCAATCCAGGTGGCTCTTATATTAAGGTGGCTCATATGAGGTGGCTCATATGAGACACAAGAGGGTTGAAAGTGTTTTCTTTGGTTGCCTCTGTTACCAAATCCTTTATTTATGTAATGTTGATGAACTATTTTGTATCATGAAGTTACAATAACTTCTTTTGCCTTTTAGCATCATTTTATGGCGAAAGCTACATACAATTAAATGTTGCTGAAACAGTGTATGAAATATCACTGAAATTACATTTTCGGACAAATAGACCTGATGGATTGCTTTTTCTTGTTTCTGGAAAGGAAGATTATTTTTTGGTGGAATTAAATTCTGGAAATATACAGGTAAGATTATAAAATATGCACATGTAATTTATGCTAGATCTGATCCTTCTCCCACTCTCTTTTTAACAGCTAAATATATTTATGGTTCATGCAAGCCTCATTTTGTTTAACTTTGCTATGTTGTCCCCATAAACCAGGAGATTACATCATTTCCCTGCTGCTGTGCACAGATGACCCTGTAGATCTTTTCAGAACACTAATAAGCTTTAAAATAGCTCTGAGAACTTTGGTCCAATACTGCAACTATGATCATCAGAAAACCAAGATTATGGCTTTTGCCAAAAACCCCGAAGCTCCACTTATGGAGCATTAATGCCCATACAATAGAACAAATGACTAGATTTATGTGTTTAAGATTAGTCATGCATTCCATTGTCTTGAGAAAAGCCCATTTTGAATACACTGTTGCTATTGGACAAAGATCTGCCAATGCTATCTTCAAATTTTTGGGATTTAAGGTAGGGTATTATATACAAGCTGTGCTTAAGTTTTTTCAGATTTAAGCTGTTAACCCAGCTTTTCTATTGGACTGTGGTTGACTCCCCAGTTTCTTGCTTCAATTGGAGAGGGTACAACCTAATTCATTGGAATAGCCCTCCAGATATCTTGCTGTGTCTCAAATGCATATCTAGAACTGGAGACAGGTATGATAAAAGTTGAATCACGAATGTGTCTAGCTTCTATAAACCTTTGGTTAAAGCTTAAATTCTGTCTTCAAGGACTAGCATCATTAGTTCTTCAGGATAATTTTCAATCTACATGGACCAAGGCTGTTGAATCTATTTTTTTTAAATCTAGGCTACTCTCCCCCTTCAGGTCTTAAGATGGAATATATTCAGGTGAAACAAATTTGGTAGCAAAGGATAAAGGACAGGGAGTGGCAAGCAGATCTAGAAAAGGCTCCTGTCTTCTTGTACCAGTACACATTAAATATATTGGCACAACTGCTAACTAGAAATATCCAGCTTTCTCTCTTGCCCAATACCATGCTCTGCCCTCTGCAGTATTGGATGGTAAATATTTAAAAAGTATTGTTGCCTGAAAGGATTTGTCCTTGTGATTCCAGAGAGATGGAAACTACAGAACATTTTCTTCTTCATTGCTGCTTTTATAGAGACATTTGAACCAGATTCATCCTACCTTTGATTAGTAGATAACCAGGTTGCCCAGATTTAGCCCATGCCTGGATGCTGTTCATGAACTGCCTTTTTTTACAGTTCAAAAAGTTTTGTGCAGTTGCCCAGAAGATCCATCAGACCCTGATAAGTAAATTTTCCACAATGTTTTCTATTTAACTGTAATTCATTTAAATTTTATATATTACTTTGTTGTAATTTTAGATATTATCATATTAATATAACTTTAGTGTTCACATTATAATTTAGTATGGCTGTATTAATTAGACCTAACTAACTAATGGTTAGACATGTCTTCCATTTTGGTTTTGAACAAACTAAAATCACACCTGAACTAAGTGATTGTTGCACAGATTACCTATCTGGAGTACATATGATTATGGATCTGATCATTTTGCTTACTGCCTATTTGTTTTATTATTTGGGGTTTACTTTGATGTATCAACCTTGCTATAATGGTTTAGTATTATGTATGAATAAGAAAATTGTGACTTATTTGACAAACCATGGTTTAAAATCCTCAAACTGGGGTTTGGTCCTAGTTTTTTTAAACTAACATTATACCACTTTTTTGAGTTTGGGTGAAATGGAAAATAATAGTTTATTCTGCATTCAGAGTTGTATTTTACGTTTTCTCTGTTCTCTGTTCAATTTGGTTGAAGAAATGTATATGCAATTATTTTGAACAGCTTTGAACATATTGTCATTGTTTTTCTTGGATGATTCAAACTCAGTTCTCTTTTACAGGTGAGGATCAACTTTCACACAAATGAACAGATCCTTCATTCCCAATTACACTCACAACTTGATGATTTAGATTGGCATCTTCTTGAAATTCATCACAAAAGAGAAAATATTACTCTAGTGATCGATAAAAATTATCAGACTAGTGCAATAGTGCCAGATTTCTTAGTATTTGAACTAAACATTGAATATGGTCTCTATATAGGTGGGAGAGGTAACCTTAATGTCTACTATCTTAACAATACACCAGTTAATTTCCGAGGATGTATTAACGATGTGATATTTAACAACCATGATATCTTAACGTCCCTGAGATCGTCTGCAAGAAATAAAAACATTCATGAAGTATCACTGAGCTGCAGCAATGAATTTTTTGCAGGGGAAGAAGAACCCATAAATTTTTTTAATTCCAAATCCTATGTTTCATTTCCTCTTTGGAATGTCCAAGCAGGAGGCATCTTGGAATATTCAGTGCAAACTACAGCTCAGAGGGGATTGCTGCTCTACAGTTCTGGTCCCTTAGGAGACTTTGTTGCAATGGAAATTGAAAATGGTCTCATTAAAGCTCACATTAGAATGGGTAAAAATAGACTTGAACTTTCTTCTCTTAGTCCCGTCAATGACAACCAGTGGCATGTTGTCAGACTAAAATTTTCCATAAAATTTGTCGAACTCACTCTAGAAAAGAAAACTGTGAAAACTCCATTGCCTTCTCATAGTAGGCTTCCTGTTCTTAAAGGGGCCTTATATGTCGGTGGAATAAATGATGCACTCCGTGCAGAAGTGCTAAAACAAGGCTTAGCTTCAGTTTCTGGGAGATACGGAGAAGGCGGATCTTTTAGAGGCTGCTTGAAAGATTTGATAATCGATTCCCAAAAAAAATCCTTGAAAAATGTTCTAGTGACTAAGGATATTTCAGTAGGATGCACAACACCTAATGTTGCACCAGAAAAGCAGGCTGTTGTTGGTACTGTGACTCCTAAACTACTGAAGAAAGAAAGTCATGACCATTTTTTGTTTGTCAACAACTTAATTGTGCCAGAAGGTGGGCAAGCATTTCTTGGATCTAAGCACATTAAAGTCAGCGTGGACTTCAAAGCACTGGGGATTCGTCAGTCGCAAATTCTTTTTAGAATTAAACATCCCCCTTCTTATGGCCAGTTGAAGTTGAATGTTGTGTCAAAGCAAGAAGACTTCACATTTACTATGCTAGATTTGTGGCAAGGCAAAGTTTTATATGTTCATGATGGTTCTGAAGAAAACTATGATTATTTCACTTTCTCTGTTTCTACAAGCAGTAAAAGGAAGATGCCTCCATATCTCCAAGGAAATGATGAACATATGTTTACTATTACAGTGAGACCAATAAATGATGCTCCAGAACTTATATTTCCAAATGGAAACTTATTTCCTCTCTTAGAATACTCCAAGAAATGCCTGAGTATAGATTCCATAAATATTGTGGACAACGACACAAGTGCTGCAGATCTTAGTATTACAGTCCTTGGAAATTCAAATGCAGATGCAGGTTTTCTAGAAAATTCCAAAACTCCTGGGAAAACAATTACTACCTTTTCCTATGAGGATTTACAGCATGGTAATGTTTTCTTTGTCCACACTGGAATTCAGAATTCCAGGATTGTTCTGCGAGCAAGCGATGGGGAAAAGGTTAGCAACACAGTTGTGTTGCGTATCATGGCTGTGCCCCTGGATTATAAATTAGTCAACAACACGGGAGTTGATGTGGTACAAGGCACCACAGTGTTGATAACACTCAGCCATTTGGCCACAGAAATAATTGCTTTTCAACAAGAGTTGGAAATAAAATATGAAATCACAGAAGAACCCTTTTTTGGAGAAATTCAGAGAAGGCATACTGGTGGAGAATGGAAAAAAACAAATTCTTTTTCTCAACGATCCATTGAACGTGGTCGTGTGAGATATCTTTCTACCTTCAAAGCAATTCAGCAAAATAATGTCCATGAACATTTTAAGTTTAAAATTATCATTGGTAGCAATATAAGCCAAGAGTTTCTGTTTGCTGTTAGAGTAAAATGGCTGACTTACAATTTACTGAAATATGCGCCGTTAGTTATTGATAAATCAGAGAGAGAGCATCTTAATTCTAGTAATCTTCTTGTGATGATACCACAGATGGATCTGTCAGAAAATGAATTTCTTTATAAGCTGCAATCCTTACCTGAGAAAGGAAGAATTCTGCTTGATAATGTCCCATTGGAAATAAATTCCAGCTTCAGCCAACAGAATATTTCTGATTGTAAAGTAGAGTATCAATTATATAGGAAGTCCCATGAAGAAAGTCTGGATTCATTTCGATTCTTCATTAGTACTCAGTTTGTGGTATCAAATATCTATGATTTCAAAATTAAGATCAAAACAAACCCACAAAACATTATTTTGATAAACAATGGTCTTACTGTTACTGAAGGTGAAGGATCACTGATAACAAAATCAGAATTGTTTGTGCAGACCTTCAGTAATACGACTTTTGAGTATAAGGTTACAAAAAGTCCTCAACATGGGAAATTAATGCTTATTAATTTTTCTGATTCCCCCGAAAGTAACAACAATCTTAGTAGTTTCACTAATCAGGATATATATGGAGAACGTCTTATGTATATACATGATAACTCAGAGACACAGTATGATGAAATTCATATCACTGCAACTGCCATAAAATTTGGAGAAGAGGTTTTAGAAAAAGAGTTCCCATTATCAGTAGGGATCAAATTTAATATTTCTATCCATCTGAAAAATGATGAAAAACCAGTACGAGTGGTGGATAAGATATTTCATGTTGTTAAGAATGGGAGGAAACTGTTGACTTTGGATGATCTTTGCTATCATGATCCTGATACAGATTTTGATGATAATCAGTTGTTATACACCAGGCGTGGCATACCTAATGGAGACTTGGTTCTTGTCAATGAAACATCACATAGACTGTATCAGTTCAAGCAAGAGGACCTTATGCAAAAGCAAGTCCTCTTTGTTCATCGAGGTGCCACTTATGGTCGTTTTGTGCTATTTGTAACTGATGGAAAACATTATACGTCATCACTGTTAGAAGTAAGTGCTGCTGAACCATATGTCCTCCTAGCAAACAATACAGGATTATTGATCCAAAAAGGAAAAGAAGCAGTGATTACCACCGCTAACTTGAGTGCTACCACAAATCAAGATATTAGAAGTGATCATGAAATTAGATTTGAGATATTTTTCTCCCCGAAGTATGGACAAATCTTTGTTAATAATTTAGCACTGGCCACTTTTACACAGCATGATCTCAAAATGGAACATGTGACTTATAAACATAATGATAGCAATAATTTGATTGACACATTGAATTTCACTGTTTATGCTAAAGGCCTCCATTTGGATGTTGAAATGAACATTCAGATATATTTGGAAAGTCATCAACGTCCACCAGTGGTCCTACATAACCACAGCCTTTTGGTTGAAGAAGGGAATCCTGTTCAAATCAGTAATGGAAAATTGCTGGTAAGATGAAGTTATCTGGTAATTTATAGCAAATGTTTTAAATATTTTTTGTACAGAATTATGTTTCCTTGATTTCAGTAATTTTCTTCATCCAAGCCTTCTGAACATTAGAAGAGCATCTGTGTATTATCTTTTCCTTAACCTGTTTAATGAATATCTTTTACTATACTGAAATTATTTTATATTGTTTAATGTATTAATGTATTATTTACTTTACTGCTGATTTTAATGAAAACTATGAGATTCTTCAATCTAAGGAGCTGTATATAAATATATTTATGTGTTTGATTAATAATGTTCATTAATAACAATCAGGCAGAAACAATCAGGCAGAAAACAATGCTTTAATCAATCAACTTCCAATGAGGAAATAAGCAGCAAACTCCATACTCACTTGCTCTTATCATATTACTTAATTGGGTAATGAAATATTTGTAAGCAAACTCGGAGAGCACCAAGATTTTTTAAAAATTTATTTAAAAATCCTTATTTAATAGTAAAGGTTTTGTGTGCTTTCTATCTCAAGATAACAAATTTTTGGTAATTGTGTCACAGAATGCAAGGTGGGACATGCAAAAAAGACACATAGGCAGATAGACAGAGAGATTGAAAGTTTGGAAAGCATCTATACCCGTAGGGACACAGATAAACCATCAGAATATTCAATGCTGTTATTAAAGATTAAATATAAAAAGCTGTACAGTATTTAGAAAAACCGTGCTCATCTTTATGTTACCAATGACCTGGTCTTATATTTTTTTTAAGGCTGTGCATGAAAACAGCTTGCCATCAGAGATAGAATTCAAAGTAAGATCATCTCCAGTCTATGGCTATCTTTGGAAGTTTACATCAAAAGAAAACTACCTTGGAGCAGAAGAAAATCCAGTTTTGTCTTTTACTCAACAAGACATCAATGATGGCATTATCCAATACATTCAGACCATCTCCAACCAACTCCAAGACCACTTTTCCTTGGATGTAACCAATGGCATCCAGACAGTCAGTGGAATAGGAATGACTGTGGCCATCATTCCAAAGCTGATCCCACTAGAAGTACACAACTTCACAGTTGCTGAAGGCGGTTCAAAAGTTCTTAAAGAAGATATTCTAAAAATTTCTAATAGCCACTTTGCAGAAGTTAATTGTGACTTTGATATAGTTGAGCCACCAAAACATGGGCAAATTGCAAACTCTCATTTTTTTGGAATGGTGTTGACTAAATTTACCAGAAAACAGGTAAAGTTATTCTAGATACATTTCTGGCTTTGATTTTATAATTAGATCTTGAAATCATATATCAGAGAACAATTAAAACTTCTTGAACTTTCCTATTTTTGGACTTCAGACATCAAGAACCTCCCTATTTTTAGAAAACTGTATAGTCCCCATTGTTATATATAATATAGCAGGTAATTCAAGGAAAAAATGTGTTGAGATTAAGTAACACTAGTTCAACAACTGGAGAGACTACATGCTTATGGTTTAATTTTTAAAGTGGATGCATTTTTAATTTTGTGACTTTCCTGTTTCAGCTAGAACATGGGTTGATCTTCTATGTTCATGATGACAGTGAACAGCTGCTTGATAATTTTACCATTGTTGCAAACTGCACACAAGTATGGAAGCAAAGCTTGCCTCAGATCATATTTGTGACTATTACACCAGTAAATGATGAAGCTCCCATCATAAAGAGAAATATAGCACTCCGGGTACGTCCTGAGGAATTTGAGATCTAAATGTTTAACTGGTTATACATGACATTCTTCTGTTTGTAACAGGTGAAGTGCAAATAGAAACACAAAGATAATCAACACATTACTAGAAGTATCTCATATATATGAAAAAAGTACTTGTCTCTGAGTTATCTGTACTATATGAATAACCATCTAGAACAGCAGTTCTCAAACATTTTGATCTCAGGACCCCTTCATTTTTAAAAATGATTGAGGGGTTCCAAAGTCCTGGAAGAAGATATTCAAAAATAGGAGGAGTTAATTGGGATTATGGTTGAGTTATCGTAATATGGGTGAATTACAAACATACTTTCTTGGAGTGGCATTGACTAAATTTATCAGAAAACAGGTAAAGTTACTTTAAATTCATAGAACTTTGCTTTACATCTATCAATATTAACTATATTAGAAATGGAAACTGAGAATTTTAAAAATATTTGAGTTTGTAGATTTCTTGAAAGCTTCTCAGGGACTCCGAAGGATCCAGAGATCACATTTTGAGAACTGCTGTTCTAGGGTATATTTTTTCCCATTCAGTTATGCCCAAATCTCAGAAACTACCTGGGCAAATCCCTGCAGTTTTCTTGGCAAGTCTTTTCAGAAGTGGTTTTGCCATTGCCTCCTTCCTAGGACTGAGAGAGTGTGACTGGCCCAAGGCCATCCAGATGGATTTGTCCCTAAAGGTGGTACTATCAGTAGAACTCACAATATCCTGGTTTCTAGCCTGATGCCACTGCACCAAATGTGCTCCCTCTAGAGCAGGGGTGTCAAACCGCCGGCCCATGGGCCGGACGTGTCATCCGGAAGCCGCACCCACCCCATTGCCAGCAATGGCAAAACCATCCTGATACGTTGCACGATGTCATGTGACGTCGTGAGTTTGACATGTCTGCTCTAGGGGTTATACCAGTGTTTAAAACATCTGGACAGTTTTTCACTTTTACTACTGTTGAATTTAAAATAAATCCCGGGGACTACGAAAAAGATAAGGCAGACAGCAATGCATCTTCATTGTGTCCTTGATTTATTTTTAATGTTCACATTCCAACTCTGTGCTATTATTGCTAGCATATAGGTCTTGTTTAAAAT